AGTTTGCTAGAATGTTAATGTTCCTTTTGTCTAATTTCTAATACCATGTACTGCTTTTTAATAAAAAACAAGATGTTAAGTACCTGCGAGCTTGCAGTTGAATGACCTATTATTAATAAGCATGATGTACTGTTTTGTAAATAAATGTAATTATAGTTTGTACTGAGTCATTTGATGCTTCTAATAAACAAAGCACTATAAATGAGTCTTAGTATTTTAAGAGCCACTAAATGATTGCTAGTCTTTAATTAGTATATAATATACTCTTGAAGCAAGAGGAGTCCTATTTCAAGTAGTTTCAGAGATTGAGAACCAACTAGTATTTCTCCCTTTTTGTTATGTATAGGTTTCCCAAGCAGCTGCAGACTTGAAACAGTTCTGCCTGCAGAATGCTCAGCATGACCCTCTGCTGACTGGAGTATCCTCAAGTACAAATCCCTTCAGACCGCAGAAAGTCTGTTCCTTTTTGTAGTCCGAAGAATTTTTTGGAGGTAAGTTTTCTTAAGTAAATAACTCACATAGTAGGGATAGCTACTTAGGTCTTTTTGTTTGCAGCACTTATAGGTTCATCCCATGCATTTCTGTTTGGCACTCTTTTAAATTTTCAGTCTTAAGGAAAGGATTGATGAAAATTATTTAGTTGTCATCAACTGTTTGTCATCACAAAGAGGGTTAAATAGAAGACTTAACCGTAAAGGGAACAGGGGAGCTTTTATAAAACAGTGCTGCTGGGATAAGCCATGTGTTGCACTTTATACTGCCTAATGGCATGATATACCTAGTGGTATATTTTAGGGTCCTCGATTACTATTTTTCTAATGTACTTAGTAAATATTTATAGACAGTGCTTGAGATTACTTTTAATGCACTACCAATTGATTTGGGTTAATTTTGATGTTACTGCCATAATAGAACCCAGGTATGGGGCAGTATAGCAAAAAATTGACAATTACAGAGAAGGGGGATACCTGAATAAGCTGATGTGCAACAGGCATTTGGAGTGAGGAAAAACAAGTTTTACTTTTTATTCTATTTTTTTGGCAACAATAAAACATGAGAAGTTGTTGGTGGCAGAGTGGACTGCACTTCAGAGGATTAAAAAAAAAATGACTCATTAAAGCATATGTCTGTGTATTAATTGGTATTTTTCAGATCACGTATCAGGTGTGCAGAATCTTGGTTGTCCAAGAGATGTGACCAAAAAATGTGCTTTGGATGATTTAGTGTTAATTCAAAGATGCTGTCCTTTTAAATCCAGGGCATGATAACTAGTATTGAAGTATGAGAAGCAAACTAACTGCTTTAAAAGGAGATTTTGCATATGACACACACCCTTTACTAACATTATGACTTGAAAAGTCCAGTGAACATGTTCCTAAAGTATCTTGTTATATAGATATTTCTCTCTAATTAAGCTTTGTAGATGTGAGTGTCCAGGAAGTCTGTATAAGTACCTGCTTCTAGTAAACACAAAATTGATTAAGATGGCAAAATTCTTTGAAACACCCGAAGTATGGTTTTGTCTTTTCTTTCATTGGACAGGGTCTTGCTGTAGTTGACTAGCTTTGAAATCACTACATAGGTCAGGACTGACCTTCAACTCTGTTGTCGTCCTGCCTCAGTCTCCTGAGTGCTGGGGCTGTAGATGGGGGCCACCGCACCTGGCTAAAGTAATCTTTTTAACAATCTAGCACCTTTGGATTTCATAGTCTTATTATTTCTTTCATTCTGGCAATATGCATTTTTCATGGATGTTTTTCGAAGTTTCATATTGTTTACTAAAAATTCTTTTAAAATCTCAGTTCCTGTTGTACTCAATTTACAAAATTGTACATTTTCATTTGGCTTAAAGTATTGTTAAGAAGCCTGAGCTGCCTATTATACATTACAGGAGCCTACAAATAAATTGTTCAAATGACCTGCTCAAGTTTATAACTGCGATGAGTGCTCAGATTTCAAAATAAAATAATGGGTAATAATCCCAGCAGTATAAGAACCTCTTGTGGATATTATGACTCAGAACAATTTGCTTTAAGGAAACAATATTTAGGTATTAAAATGATGCTTCTCAAAAACTTGTACCTACTGCAAGCTTTCATTTTATTCTAATGCTCATGGACCCAGGCTTATACTTACTGACATGAATATAAATATCTACATTGGCATCTTTATAAAATCGCTTTTTAAAATTATATGGTATCTTTAAAATTAAAAACAAACAATTTAGCAACAAGCAGTACAAGGAAGAAATCATCAAGGTTGGCACACCTTAAGGTAACCACTATTAACAGATGTATTTCCTTTTAAGAGGACATTTTCAAAAATTGTTTTTAAAAAATAGGGATCATAGTTTTAAGCAGTTCTACATTATGTCTTAAAAAAAATGGATACCCTGTTTCATTTCTCTCCTCTTTCCCCCCATACTGGGGGTTCTTTGCACTGAGCTATAGCCCTAGTCCCTTTTCAAATTTTTAAATTTTGAGACAGGGTTACATAAGTTGCTCAGACTGGGCGTCAACTCATGATCCTCCTGCCTGAACCTCTCAGAGTTCATATTACAGGCCTGCACCATAACATCTGGCTACTAAATATTCTTTATAAACAAGATTTTCACAACTCTACTATAACTGTACTTCACTTAATATTTAAAGTTCCAAATTTGAGGCTACAGTGGGGCATACGTCTTGGTGTATGCATTTAACTTCACTTGTCATTATTAAGATAAATTTCTAGATGTAAAGTTAGTCAACATGCAGTGAACATTTAAGATTTTAATGAAACTTGATTACCACTTTCAATGTAATACTTTGGTTTTCCTCTAGGGAATATGGATTTCTTTTGTTGAATGTTTGCCAAACAAACCTTTGTCTGACTGCTGTATTTTAAGTAAAGTTAAAGCATTGTCATGGTTTTTGTTCCCCTACAGCAATAATTTTGTTTATACCTTTTAAACTACCTCAAATTTTCAAATAAGTATGAAGATCTGGATTAAATGATTTATACCTGATTAATTTAACAAATAAAACAGACCACACTTTTTCTGATTTTCCACACAGATAATTTATTCTGAAATGAAATGTTTTTACTAAATATACTTACTATATTTTAGAATTTTAAACTAATATTTTTGAAGGCATAAAAAACTATTGCATTATTTTTGAGTTTTATTTATCCATATATTGTTTACTCATTTTTTCTTTTGTTTTTAAGACATGATTTCTCTGTGTAGTCCAGCAGGCTTGAACTTGCAGTTTTCCTATCTCAGCTTTCCAAATGGTGGGATTACATGTGCACATGGCATGCTTATCTACTTTTTCAGTCATTTTAACTACTTTATAGTTTGTATTCTATCATATACTTAGGCTTTAATTTATTCATTCCTCTACCAAGTTACATTAAGGCTGTTCCACTTCTATGCTGTTAAAACAACAATGGTCATTATTTGTGTTTGTATTTTCTACATAGTAAAAGTTTATCTAGGTACAAAGAAGAGTGATTGCAACTGCTACTTCAAGAGCTATTGTTACCTGTTCTTGATGCTGTTACTTATTTTAAAAGGGATATTCTTCTTGAGACTTTTGTTAACCTTTTTATTATGATAATGTATTTGGCACTAATCTTAGCAAGTTAATGTAAGTCTTCATTTGTAAAACAGTCTATCGATATTTCAGAATGTCTTTGAAAATTAAGAGAAGGTTGTTTTTTGTTGTTTTTTTTTT